AAAAAAAAAAAAAAGATTCTTACATTGTGTGAAAAATATCACACACAAATCACAGAGGAGGGAAGATCATTTTGTCTAGGGACTACAACAGTGAAAGGATGTCAAAGATACCTATGTGTTCTTCTCTCTGTCTTCCCCTGCACCCTTGTTCTTCTATCATGAAAGCTTTTACATCAGAATATTTTGGGTTTCCTATGGCATCAGTCATAATTCTTACATTTGATTATTTGACTGGTAAGATATTATATTTACTTTGTGTTTATAGATTCTTTATCAGGCTGTGAAATACAAGTTTCTTCCTTCAGAAGGAGGTGAGAATATAAATATATCAGGACCTTCTTCGTTGATCAGTAAGGATACAGAGGTAAGCTTTAAAGAGAGTTTTTAAAGTAATAATGATTTTGTTCTGCATTATGCTGAAGAGCTGAATTTGAGTTTTTAGCAACATCTACCTGCATACTAGACAAAATGCACAACATTAAATATATCTACTGATTTCTGTTCTTAAATACTTACTCTGTTCTGATTTTCTTTGTTGCTTCTTCCTACCCAGTCTTAGCACCATAGAAAAAATATAAACCCAGAGGCAGGGGAGGAGGAAAGTGAAACAAAACTTAACACGATAAAATACATTATTGTTGGTTTGATTTTTGATCTGTCCCAATTGCAAAGCAAAACATTTGAAAATAAACCTGAGCTACATATTTAATTAAAAAAGTCTTTAATTAAACTTAGTTTTCCCCTTTGTTCTGTGCATCATGAAGTTTATGACTTCTTTTGCCGTTTTATAACTTTCATATATTGCATGTGAAATTATTTTTGTGCGTGAGATCAGAAGGAACATCAAGTGTTTTGTGGGAAATAGAGGCAGGGCAGCAGGAAAAATGTCTACTATTATTCTTTCTACTTTTCATGTTTATTATATTAACAAATTTAAGTGTGTACATGTACAATTGCAAGTACATTTCTCTCTTTAAAGAAGATCTAATAACCTATTTATGAAGGAAAGGAGTGTCTTTTTCATACTCTTCAGAGTGGAAAATTCTAAGGATTTTTTTTCTGTTTTCGGTTTGAGTTTTTCTGTAGGTGATCAACAGATGGGGGGGGCAAAACCTTTAAGAAATAGAGAAAGAAAGAAAGAAAGAAAGAAGGTGCTTCAAGTTGCATAGTCTGGCTTTTTGAGAAAAGTATCTGAATTGCAGCTTCCTTGATGTCGTTATACCCTTAGGGAATTTTTACCAATGACAGCTGTAGATGAAACACGCTAGTCTTTGCCTTTGGTATATTTAACACCAGGTGGCTTAAAAAACCCACACCTCTCCTTCATGTTATTGGAATGGGAACAGGCAACTTCTATGTATATATCTATATTTTGTGTATGGTTTTTATATATGTATAGGCATACATGCATACTTTGTGTATATAACTGCATATGTAAACATACGTATACATATTTGCATATATGAAAAATAAATGGTCAGGAAAGTAAAATAGCACTAAAAACAGTATTCAGAGGGAGAGAGGTAAACACTTTATGTATCTGCTAGAATCATTGATACGAAGAAGAGGTCTGTTCACTGGCACGAATGTTTTGTATTTTCTGGAAATTGGTAAATGAATCTCTCTGAGAGGAAGATTATTAAGTAGATCTTAATAGAATTGTGGAACCTTCTGATGTGGGTGTGTGTACATATGTTTACAATATTTTAATGTATATAACAAATTTGTCATGCATCACCTTTCATATGCTGTAGTACTATTGACTCTATGTTGTGACGGAACAATTATGCATGCATATAAATGATTCAGAAACTTATTCAAGGGTTTATCAGGGTTGAGTAAACTCACTAATTAACTTCATTATCAATTCAGTTTGGATATCTCAAGCAATTTTCATTATGCTGGGGAATTCGCATTCAGAAAATTATCCACTCTTATTTTCTCCAATATATCTTCCATTTGTTTCCACCTTAGTTGTGGTCGGTTGTCTGGTTAGAATTGGAAGTAGGCAGACAGTTGACCTGGTGAGTTTGTATGTTGCTTCATTGAGGTTTTTTTCTTTCTGTTTTAATACAGCTTCTTGGCACGTCATATTTCAGACTGTTAGACTATGAGTTCTGTATATTTGATAATTCTGTCTTTTTGTTCTCTCCCAGTTGACTTAATACGGATTTATAGCTTCTTTCACTTCTTGCAATGACACAGGAGGAAACAGCCAAGAATTTAGTCACTGCATAACCCTTTCTTTGTTACAGACACCTGAAATGTTAGAAAAGGAATATATTCAATAACTCAGTTTCTCTGACTTAACTGAATCCCATAACTGCAATTCCTGTAGTTCTGCTTCAGCTAATTCCTTGTGCTTCACCTTCATTGTCTTGCACAGAATTTCAGTTTCTTCGAAGAGAAAACAAACGATAAGATTTTTTTTCCCTTTCTTTTTAATCCTTTCTTTTTTGCTTATGTCCTGATTAACTTACAGCACCCTTTTCTCAAGGAGTTGACAAATGTTCTTCTTTCTCACTTATTGATACCTTTTCAGATTGGTGCTCTAAGTGTAATTTTCCTTATCTTGACTTGACTAAGCTTCTTCTGGCATACATGTGTTTAGGCATCCCTTTCTCTGTTGCATTAAAAATACCTATCTGTAAGTATATCAATCTTACATTTCAAAGCTTTAGTGACCTTTTTCTACCTCTTGTTATCTTTATCTAGTGTTGAATCATTAGTTGCCATTACCATTTTTTTCTTTATACCAACCTATATCATCAACTGGTTATACTTGTCAATCGTTCTTCTCTTGATGAACTCCTCTCTAGAAACTTCTAAACTCATTTAATTTCTGTTATTTTAAGTTCTTCCTCTGGAACTTTTTTCCCATGAAACTTGCAGAAATCTTGGTAGCAGCTGGCTACACATCTTCACAGATTGCATAGAAATGTGTTATTTAACATTGCTGTCATATTGACTTCAGTATAACTTTTCTCCAAGTTTTTGCTGGTCCTACTCTGAAGGAAATTCCTGATTGCTATGATAAAGATGCATGTAATTATTCTATAGGAACTAATGCATTTGCACAAGGATGTACTTCATTACTGTAGTGCCAGCTTGTCACTGTTGATTGAACTCATGAGATCCATTGGAGAAATTATCCTCTGGAAGCTACATAGCAGATTTTTTCTAAGCCTCAACAACTGATCTTGTGCTTCTCAAACAAAATATCTCAGTGAGAAAATTAAGGTCTTGATTCATGAAAAGCATTTCAGAATATTATTGCTAACATTATTAGATTAAAATATAATGCTTAGTCACGAGATGCTGTGTTGTGTATAAACAGTAGAAACAATAACCATCAATTGCCTTGTAAATGAGCTCTGACTTTATGTTAAATCTATGTAATACTGAAAACATGCATTATGTCTTTTATAAATAAAATCATTATCTTTTACGTATCTGAATGTGAAAACTTAATTACTGTGAAGTAGCACATAAGCACAAGAGAAATACGCAGTTTCAAGTTTCCTTGAAACCAAACTCTTTGATAGGAGAGCAGACATCATTTCTAGAGGAGAGTATCTTCAAATTATAGGAATGATTTTCTTAAATGTTGCTTAAAGAAAAGAAAATTTCCGATTAACAGAGCATTAGCATCTTCTTTGCTTTTGCATTTTTCCCAAGCACTGGATCTGGGAAAAGACAGGATCTTTTAAAGCATTTGTGTACATTAAAGTGGTATGTCATGCATTTTTATCTCTGCTGGTTAGAAATGATTAGGGAATGTTACATTTGTGTAGCATGCACTGGGAACTCTCCCACCTGGAGTCTTTGGAACCTCAGGGTAAAAATAATGCTCCAGCTGCTGTTTCAAATAGTTGTGATTTTTTTTTTTTTTTAACTTTTATTTTTTATTTTGTGATTAACTGGAGCTGTGTTTTGTGGTTTAGTAAATGTACTGGTTTTAATTCTGTAATAATTAAATTAGAATTCTTCTTATAGGAAGAGGTGGCTGTAATTCCTGAAGGAATCATGATCATTTACAGTGTCCCTGAACTCTTGTGCAGAGAAGGAGAAAAATCTCAACGTGGAACTCTATATGTGCACTATTTAAACTGTTGTAGTCAGTGGAGATCCAGTCAATGGTGCATAGAGAATAAGTCAGTTAATCAGTCATTAGGTGCTTGATTCAGTTACTTAATCATAGATATCAACAATTTGACATGCCCTGAGTTATCCTTCGGTCCTTTAGCTACTGACCCTAAAAGTCTAGGTCCTCTGTCAGATCTACAAGTGTTAAGCAGATATCTTAATTACTGCTGTATATCTCAGACAGTCATCAAAGCCTGTGTTTAAGCAGCTGTATCAAATGCATTGTGTATGCTTAAGGCTGGGTTACTTTTTCGGTTCCAGTGACATTATAGCCCTAATAAGAGTTTAGACATCCAGTGACACCTGAATTTTAGTGTTGTCATCTTGAGCTGAATCTTTTCTGTAGTCTCTCATCTAGGGTCTGCTTTATCTTTGCAGGACTGGAGTTTTCAATTAGACTGGTCCATTAGCTGTAACATACACTACAAAATTAAAAAACCCACAAACAAACAACAAAAAACTCCAAACCAAAACCCTCCAGGGCATAAAACATAAATGTGGAATAAACATGAATAGTTAATTAAAAGACACTATTTTAAATTGCTGTTTCCCAATGGGAGTACCAAAAAGGGAAAAAGAAAAAGGAAAGCTAATAGTTGTTCTGTCTTATGAACAGAATCTGTTCCACCTCACTTTGTTTCTTTCATGATCTTACTGCATAATGACTCTTAATGCATAAAGTGTATACAGTGTATGGTTTTTGCATGTTTTGATCCTTGCGCCTTGACTAACTGGCATTAAAGAAAAAAAAATCTGTGTTGCATTTGTTCTAATTTATTACTCTCTCTTCTGTGGCTTATTTAAAAAATAGTTGGCTTTGTTGTTTATCCTTGCATTAGACAGTTTGGAATGGTATATATGTGTATGTATGAGCATATGTATATATAAAAAAATATTTTAGCTGTTATTTTAGAGTATCTTGATACTTCAGAATTTGTTGGCTGACTGTTTTTATATCCATTTAGATTCATACAAATTTTTAAGCTGCTAATTTAGGATTAATAAGTTGTTGTTTTGTTTTTAATCAGAAGTGCTTACCTTTATAAAGGATATCGGGAAGAAATAAAACAAGAAAATAATTTCCCCCAAACACCCCTCGAAATCTCCAAACTATAACTTACTCCTGATGATACTATTAAAGGATACAATTAAAGTTGTCTTCTTAAAATGAGACCTCCAGCAATCTTTAAGAAATCATTAATTTTATGAGAGATTGATTCAGGATAGCAAGAAGTTATAGCTTGAAAGTGTTGCTGTTCCAGGTACACAGAGGAATGGCTTTTCAGAAAACAGAATTCTTATTTGTGCAGAGAAGAGTAATTACTCGTAAGAGTTGAAATTCTTTTTAGAAAAAATCAATAGAGTTTATCTGATGGCGGTAGAGCTATAGAAGCATACACACCAGCATACAAGTTAGCCCATTAGTGTTCAGACTACTGAAGGAGGTTTATTTAAAAAAAAAAATGGTTTTGCTCAAATGCAGTTGAGAACTTGGGGGGAAGATTTTTTTTTCTGGTTCTGATTTGTTTTGCTTTTGTTTTATTTATTCCCCATGAAGAATCAGTTAGGTGTCCTGCAGCATCTGCTTGAAAATAGAGGCAGAGAGAGAAATTAGTATTCTGTATATAACATCTAAGATAAATTACAGAAAGCTTTTGTACTAAGTACCAAGAGTGGTTTATTTAAAAACCACACAAACAAGAAATTCTCCCCCACCCCACCAAGCCACCAGACCCAGGATTTTCTGTTGCTTTTTACTTTTCAGAGGAGTAAAAATTCTGGCTTCTTGTACTTGTCATGCTCTTTCTTAATTTGGTGAAGTAAGAGCTGAAAATTCCCGTTTAGCCAGTCAGTTCATTAGTGGTGCATCTGTGAAATGCAGAATATAATTTCAGAAAAGAGTGAAAAAAATGCTGAAGCCTTAATGGAAAGAAGGACTTAAGGTGGACCTGCTGCTTCAGTGGTCAGCTTGAGGCAGTGATTTACTGCATACTACAGTAAAAGGTACTAAAAATAACTTAGTCTGCAGTGAAATTCTGTTATTGAAGCTAGCATGTTTTGTCACTGAAGTTATGGTGGGACATAATTCACTTGAGCATAACTTGGCATCCTTTTGGTCTGATGTCTGAAATTTTGTGAAGAGTTAGCAAGTTGTAAACTAATACCTCACATTCAGTTATACAGGTAGAATTTTTCTATTTCAATACACTTCAGTGTATGGGTAAATGAATAATAGAGTTGTTAGGGAGAAACATTGGCTATAAAACTGTTGAAGTTTGCTGTACAGAGGAAAACATTAATATTTTCTATTGCTGAAGACAGTGTGTTTACATTAGCATGCTAATTATATATTTGTCTAATGTGTAAGCTTTGTAAAGCATGCGATTAACACAAACCTTTCAGGACTGGAAGAGCACAGATCAACCAACATGGATGTTCTGGGTATTACTTAAATTCTTTACATGAGGAAGAGCTGGTATAGAAAGCTCCATTTGTGGAACATGTCTTGTACTTTTAAGAATTGTCTTACATGTGAGTTTACTGAGACTGAGTGAAGATGTTTTGCAGGATAATGTGTAGTCGTATATGTGCATGTATTGCAGAAGCAGTTTGGGATTGAGAATAGGCTGTGGTCTTGATTCTTCTTTGCAGTCTTTTAGGTTTGCTATATTCGGTACCTTGTAAGAGCCAACTGCAGAATTTCAAATTTTGATGATACTTTTTCACTTGGTGTGGAGATGAATGTTTACATCTCTTCACAATTTCCCCTACTGAGAATTTGACTTAATTAATCCTACCTCTGTACAAATACAAGATTGTCTCTACTGTCAGCTTTCTTGAATTATTGAAGATCAGTTTTAGCCTGCTCAATCTCCTCATTCGTAGAGATCATTATTTTAACAGAAGCATTCAACAATTATGTAAAACATTACCATTATAAATTTTGGAATTAAAACCAGCTGGTGTCTGTGGAAACAAGAGGTTATAGTTGAATAAGGGGCAAAATGTTCTACTGATCACACTACTCACTTCAGATTGGAACTTCTAAACCACTTTTAACTTGTCTTTGGTTTGTTTTTATGACAGCTGTTGCTTAAATTATTTTAATTTAACATATTTGAAATTTTTTATATGTCATTAACATAGTGTGCCTGATCGCTAATGTGTTTGACTTTAGGTCATTAGCCTAATTAAAGCATGAGTCTAACACTTGCCGTTGTGTGTTGGATATGCTCACAGGATGAAACCAACGTCTCCTCTAGCCAGTCTGCTGATTTGTTGTACTGGACGACATCAAAAACCATGAAGGTGTTGTCTAACACAACTATGACTACAAAAGCCATGCTGCATGCTGTCAGTGATGGACAGTGGTGGAAGAGATCATTAACTTATCTTCGACCACTACATGTAAGGGATTGCTAATGTGTCTGCAGATGTTTACACGTTCACTGATATGTTAGTATAAAAGCTGGGCTCCTTTATAGGTATCTGATAACTGAAGACCTCAAATCAATAAATGAACTAGAGACATCAAGGGATTTTTTGCAGGCAAATCCCAATGAAAGAAGGGGTCTAAAGCTGTTTCATTCTCTTGTTTTCTAATCTGTTTTCTCCTGCTTTTTTAACAATAGTGTGAGAAAGCATAGTTGAAATTTGGCAGAACTTCAGAACTTTGGGGAAGGAAGCACAGTGAAGTCCACTCTTTAAATACTGTCATTTCATAGTCAAAGCTGTTCCTTTTCAGTTTCTCTTTTCTACCTTCTCTACTTCAGTGGATTTTCTTTAATGTTTATGATACTAGTTTCTCTGGTACTACTTTTGTGCATGATTCTCTTTCTTTTTTTTAAGAATACTGGACCTCATTCAGCATTGGTTTATGTAAGATGACTCCTATCTTTCTCCCCACTGAATTCAATGATATTTTCATTTACAGTTGCTTCCCTTCTGAATAGCAGTTACAGACTTTTTAATGAGCTTTTTTTATGACTACGTTCAACTATCTTATTTTTCCCAGGGCCAAGATGTATTAAAAAGTGGGCCTGGAGAAAATGCCACTGTGGAAAAACAAGGCTGTCATCCGTTTTATGAGTCTCTAATTGCTGATCCATATGTTGCAGAAGTAAGTTTCTGTTACAGAATTCTGAAGTATTAGTTTTTTGTTGAGCTCTCATAATTAGTAATATGGATTTTGGATTATTTGTGCGACTTGAGATTTTGTGCAATAGTAGGAAGAAAATCCAGAATTGAACAGAAAGGAAAGCGAATGCAGGAGCTGAGGTAGATAATTGCATCTGATGCAAGTGAGCTAAATATAACTGCAGGGTGTAGTGTGCATGTGTCAGTTATCTTATTTTACTTCCAGTCTGAAATCAGCTATGGCATGTACCAGAACAATTCTTTGGAAAGCTTTGCAGAAGTATTGCTGAGAACAGAGAAACTGACAGAAACAAAGAGTGAAGAAAAAGACCTACTTCCAACTACAGAAGGTATGGGTATACGTATATTCACTCTTGTATGTACTATGTATAGTAAATATAGGAGAATCTGTGGATGGGTTTAAATATGGAGAATTGCACACAACGATTGGAAGTAGTGTCTGGGTATTTTGTATGAATTGTGATCCAGTTCAACATCTTTTGTTGGTAAGTAGTCTTGATAGAATTAGCTGCAGGGTTTTCAAGAGAAGTGGTATTTTTAAAAGGAGTTGCTCAGTAAGGACTACAAATCTGAATGTTGGCTCTAAATAAGCAGAAACTGATATTTAGGGGCTGACAAAGATATGAATGTTGTGGGGGGGAAAATTGTTGAAGGCTTCCTGAATCCTGCCACGTACAGATATTTTAATGGAAATTTGCAACCCAGTGTTAATGTTAATTGTATGTATGCCTGTGTATTCACTTGTTCAGATTCTGTGCCATTGTGTATACAGCTTTCAGTATTGCAGGGTCATTACAGTATTTTGTTTGCTAATTAATGCTTAACTGCAGCTTCTGGAATCATTAGAACTTTTAGTCGTCTTCTGAAATGTCTACATTTTACAAGTTATACTTAATAATTTGTTAACTGAAAGTTTCACTTAAAAAACAAAACAAAACCAACAAACCACACGAAACCACCTATGATTGTTTGTCTTTACTTTTGGCTGTCTCCTGCTGGTTTAAGAAATGAACTGTTTAAATATTTACATGCTGTTAGTGTCTTTTGAAGGAAGATATCTGTATTGTATTTTACTCCGTGGTAAGTTCTGCCATGAAAAATGAGTATATTAAATCACTTGCAATATGAGAGGTTTCAAGTGAGACTTTCTTCATAAGCCACACAGTTTTATTTCAATTGTTTAGTGAAAACCAGCATATTTGTCTTACAAGTATACGATTCAGTAGTTTGAGATATGTGATATATCTGCAGATAACTTATACAGTTGTAATATAATAACATTGTGAATTAGAAAAGGTCAGCAACAGCTTGTATAAATAGGGATGTATTCACATTTTGTTCCTTTCATGCTCTCTTAATGCAAAAATAGTTTTAAATCAGTACTTGGTCTCTTTCCTTGCATGCTTGAAAGCCCATAGGCTTCTAGCTCTGATGCCTGTGTCTTAAAGGAGGGGGAGGCAAGGATTAAGAAGTATTCATTGCTTTCTTAGGGCAAATGATGTTAGTTGGCAGATCTTTGGTAATACTTCCTGCTCCAACTTGAGTAAGTGGAACTGGTTGTTTACAATTCAGTGACTGCCTTTGAGATGGAAATTTCAGTTGTGGCGACTTTTGCTTGAAGAAGAAAAATTTTAGATTCCAGCTTTAGTTTTTGAGCTTTTATCTTCCTCCTCTTAAGTGTGCAGACTACTGTTTTTATAATTTTAATACTTCTGTTCCACCACTTTATTCTACAGTCAGTCTGAATTTCACTTACGAGTCTCTCCAACTGTGCTATGGAACTGAGAGTTCTGTGTTTTCCTCTGGAAAACTGAGCTGTATCTATTCTGCACTCAGCAGTCCTGCTGTGTGACACCTTTTGGTAGTCAATAGACAGCGTTCTTGCATATAGTGTAACATAGCTTTCTGTAAATGAAGGGATTGGTAATTTGCTAATTGTAATGCATTTAGCCCTGGATTAATAGTATTGGATCCCACCACTTCCCCCTTCTTGATGCTTTGCTTTATCAATTCCCATAGAAGTCCTTATGATCAGTTAACACTTTTAGGATTGTGGAGCTTGAAGATGTGCATATTAATACCACACTGACAAAATTTCAAATAAAAAAATCACGCAGATATGAACCCCATTTATTATTCTGTGTTTTTCCCATATTTTCAGGCTTACTCCAAGGTTTTGGGAGGATTTTTGCCATATGAAACTTGAATGCTAATATGAATTATTAGCTACTATACTAGTAACTAATATAGATAAACTAATAAACATAGCAGATTTCATTTGATTTTGCTGACAAGTTTGAATCCCATTTGTTTCTTTCTAGCTGTCTTCTAGGACAGCTACAGCAGCAGGTTTCAGCTCCGTTAGAAGAATCGACAAACCTGGAAGAAGATGCAGTTTAGCAAAGAAACCCTAGTTGGACTTAGCACACTGTCTTAGGAGAAGTTGAAGTATGCATCAAGCTGTTTCTATTACTATAGTAGTGTCATGCTCCAGGTGGGAGGGAATGGCTAAACACTTTCCCCAGAGGCAGCGTTCATGATAAAACTCAAGATAATGTTTGCTGTTTCTTTTGTGGATTTGGTAGGGTCACAAGCCTTGGACTTGGACTTCTCTTGTCCTTTCTATCTGGATGTAGGTGGTAGACTGAGCATTTTTGCATGAAGTGGTAACACCCATCACTTTGGGTCCAGTAAAACGCTCTTTCTTCAGTTGTGCTGTTATAGTGCATCCAGACTTAGCATGACTGAGGTAGTGTTGTACATCTCTGTTTAATTGTCTTTCTCCATAGCCCTTAGGGATTTGATGGGAGGCTGAAGATGAGATCTTACTACAATTGATGGCTGCATTTTGTTGTAACCGGATTAGGTACTAAACTCAAAAGTAAACCCAAGAAAGTCAGCCATACCTATTAATCCTCAGGAGTTTTGGAACAAAGAATAGCTTAATGTTTTCCATGATTTTGTAATTGCTTGCAGATATGGCTATTAAACTGCAATATACTTTCAAGTTTAGTGAGATTTTATCACATGCTAAATGAACAGCTGAAGACTTGAAGCTGTTTTTGCATTTTTTTCAGAGAAAAAAAACATGGAAAAAGAGTTGAAACTTCCTAGGTATTGATAAATTCCAGTTTTCACAAATAAACCATTTTCTTCCCTACTTTGCCTTGCTTGTGGCATAAAGACCCGCACAGGAAATAAAAATTATTCATAAAATCAAAATTTTTTTGTGTTTCCTAAGGAAATACTGCTTGTGGGACAGCAGCATTGGCTCTTTGCTTGTCACTGACTGTCCTCCCTGGTTTGCCAACCCTGTAATGTTTAATCGCTTTGGCAAATTTCAAATTTGGCAGTGGTCTGAAATGATACTAAGTTCCTCTAAATTTTGTGAAGATGTATGAGAGGACAGAATGGCATCCTGCTAATGTCCGTAGCCTGTGATTTGAACTCAGCCCTGTTAGACATCAGAGAATTCCCGTAGGGCTTCACTGGGAGGCATAAAGCTGTATGAAATTAGCTTTTTGAGTATAGACATGTGTTTGTGTATATGTAAAGGAGGCATCTATATATGGATACATGAACACATATTTCCACACAAGCACACAGAGAATTTATATTTATTGAATCAGTACAGGGGATTTTCTTTTTTGTCAGAGTGGATTACAATGGAGGCAGGTCTTTCTTCTTAAGTACATTCTGGCAACTGGGATGTCTTAGTGTTGAGCTTCATGCAAGAGTACGAATAAAATCATATTGTTTTCTGGCATTTTATTGGTGCTATGTTCTTTGTCATGATTGCTATCTGAAGGGTGAAGACAAATTTTTGTTTGTGTGGCAGTTGTCATGTTGGGGATGTGAAGCTGGAAGAGAACCCACAATTTATTATGCATTTCCGAGGCTCTGCAATCATCAATTTTCCAGAGAAAGGGAGAAGAGGGCAGAGCCCAAATTCTTCTTTTCCTCCTCCCAGTTTTTTCTGTTCAACTAGAGGTGTTTGTAAGAATATATAAAGTAACTTCGCTTGTGCTCAGAGTAGGAAATACCAACTTTGCAAACTAATTAATCAGGATTTTAATATTAGATATTTCTAGAGTCCCATTATCTTTGCTTGGACATCATACAGGTTATTTTGAATGTAGCAGAATGTCCTGGTTTTGGCTGGGATAGAGTTAATTTTCTTCCTAGGAGCTGGTACAGTGCTGTGTTTTGGATTTAGGATGAGAATAATGTTGATAACACACCGATGTTCTAGTTGTTGCTAGGTAGTGCTTACGCTAGTCAGGGACTTTTCAGCTTCCCATGCTCTACCGACTGAGAAGGCTGGAGGTGCACAAGAAGCTGGGAGGGGGCACAGCCAGG